CGCCCGGCGCCAGAGCTGCGGAGGAGAAGAAGAAGAACCGGAAGTGCCGCCTGGAGGAGGAGGAGGAGGAGGTAGGAGCCCCTGAGCGCGTGCAGAGTGCCGCCCCTGCCCCGCCCGCTCCCTCAGGCCCTGCTGCCCCGGGACGGGGACGGGGATACGTGCTGCCCTCCTCTTCCTGCTCTTCCCCACAGCCCTGCAAGGCAGGCAGGCCGCCCCCCCCGAGGGCGAGGAGGGAGGGAGGGGGGGGTCTCGTGGGAACTGCCTCAACCCCCCCCCAACGGGGATCCCCGGGGGGGGGGACCTGCCGGAAGGGTCGGGCCCAGGACTCAACGCGGTCGCGGACCATTCGCGGCGGTGAGGTCGGAATCAAGGTAGACTGCCTCTGGGGAGGGAGGCTCCCTCCTCGGTCTCAAGGCCAGGGAAGTGGAACATGGGAGATGTAGTCCCAGGCTGCCCCTTCGGGGGGGGGGAAGCGGAGCCCCCAGGAAAGGCCCGGCCAGGCCAGGCCAGGCGGAGCCCCTGAGAGGGAAGCCCACGAGCAGGGCATCGTGTGAGTTCAGAGTGCTGGGCTGGGACTAAGGAGCTCTGGGTTCAAATCCCCTCCCTGCCAGGAAGCGCCTTCCCTGGGAGGTGGAGGAGTAAATGGCTCCTTGGCTCAGCCTCCGCTCTCTCTCTCTCTCTCTCTCAGGACAGAGAAGCAGCTCAGGAGCGGACACGGAGGAAGCCTCCCAAGACTCGGAAAGCCAGCCGAGGGGCTAACGGGGTGTGTCGGTGAGTGGATCCCCCTCTTCAGGAGGCCTGATCCCCTTTACACTCTTGCCCCAGTGCAGTGCCCCATACCACCCGGTGTCCAGCTCCTCCTGGCTCTCCGGGAGCTGCCTTGGGCCAGCCGGGATTCTGAGAGCGGATGCTGCAGCTGGTTTTTCCCCCCCAGAGAAGCCTGGGCCGTTTCCTGGTAGATCAGGTGTCAACTGGCAGCTCTTCGCAGAGGGATTAAATCCCCGGCTGGGTGCCTGGCCGTGAGCCGAGCTGCGCGCCGTTCTTTCGTTCCGCCGCGGTGGGTGATAGCACAGAGTGTTTTCGCGGAGTAGAAAGAAGCCAAAGCGCTGGGTGGCTTCGCGCCATGAACCCTTTCCTGCTTTCTTGTTATTCCCAAGGGTGTTTCTGGCTTACCCACCGAAGTCCTCTTACGGCAAGAGATCCTCGAGCGTTGCTCTCCTCCTCACCTGCCTTGCTTTAGGGCCATTTCATTTTGGGGAGAGGCTTCCTCTTGTGCTGCCATTTGGCAGGCGTGCCTGCCTGGCGTGCTTCGAAATGGGGTAACTCCCAGTCCTGTTTGTTCCTCCCTGGAATGTTAGGCACCTGCAATGAATCAAAGCAGGCCTTGCTGGGAAGGGTGCAGAAAGTGAAGCCAGTTGAGGGCTGGAGCAACTTGCCTGTGAGGAAAGTCTGGTGTCTTTAGTTTAGGAAAGAGGGGAGTAAGGGAAGGCTGGCTAGGGGTGCATAAAGTGATGTGGAGTGCGGAGAAGGTGGGCAGAAGCCTCCCCCTGGGTTTTGAGTCACTGAAGCGGAGTAGTGGGAGATCCAGGAAGAACTCAGATGCCCCTGATGGAGCCGTAGCTTTCCTTAAGCCAGCTTAACCGTCAGAATCGATTATGCCGGGGATGGGAGGCAGCTTGTGTCGGGCAGGGATCTAATCCCTGGGCTCACAGCCAGGTCAGGGCCAGGCCAGCTGCCTGGTGCCATCCATGGCCTCCCAGGGCTGGAAGCTTGGTGTGTGCCCAGTGGTTGCCTTGAAATATTGAGCCCTCCCCCAAGTTCTGCTGCAAGTGTGTTGTGGCTGACCGGAGCTGTCTTTGAACAGGCCTCTGAAGGCGGGACAGGGAGCTGAGCGTCCAGCAGCCCAGCCGGTTGCAGGATGCCATCTGACGTGACAGATGCACCCGACGAGTCCGAGGGCCTCTCCTACGAAGACGTGGCAGAGGAGGAGGAGGAGGAGGACAATGTCAGGTGAGCACGTTGCCCCCTCTGGAATCGGCGCCTGTTGTCCTGGGGCAGAGGGATCATCCTCTCTCCACAGCTGGCCGTGAGGTTCCTATGTGAACTGGAGCATCTCTGCAGGGGGATGTGTGTGTGTGTGTGTGTGTGTGTGTGTGTGTGGGACTGGAGCAAAATGCTCAGAGGGGGGCCTGGGAGGTTTCTGTAACAAACATTGTGGTGCAGCTCTGGCCCTCAGTTCTGCAGCTGTGGCCTCCGGTGACATAGTCAGCTCCTTGCCCATGGGGGTCGGTGCGGGTGGGCCAGCTGGACACTGGCCAGCCGGCCTTTAATCCGTTTTCCCCTGTGGGTGAGACTTCCTCTCCTCTGTCACCACCTCATCCACAGCCCCACGGACCTGTCGGAGCTGCTCAAAGAAGGGACCAAGGAGTCGCACGACCGGGCCGAGAACACCCAGTTTGTGAAAGATTTCCTGAAAGGGCGCATCAAGAGGGAGCTCTTCAAGGTGTGTCTCCGTCTGGGGGCTGCCCTTGGCGCCTTCCTGCAGGGGAGGAAGGTTGGGGCTAGTAAGCTGGGTGCCCTCACGCCTTGTGGCAACACCAATGGGCAGGACAGGTATTGCCCACATGGGTCTCCCCCTGGCGCCTTCTCCCTCAAGCCCACCTCGCCGTCTCCCAGGGTGTGGGAAGGAGAGTTGCTCCCCCCCCTTGACCCGTGAAGGAATATTGGCTCTGAACTCTCCGCCCTTTTCTGGGAGGAGCCTCTGCTAGGTTGGCCGTCATGGGGTCCCCACACCCTAGAGGCTGGGGCTCCAGAGGAGGAGAGCCAAGCAGGGGACGGAGGAGTGGGTCTATCTGGGAAACAAAGCCAGGGGGTCTCTTTGCTCGGAGGGTGGGGAGCAGGACCTGTGATGGGATCTGCATGTAGAAGCCCCCGTCATTCACTCCCCGGCCCCTCTCGGCTTCACCAAGAGCAGAAAGAGCACCTCGTCCTGCCTGGAAAGTGGCAGAGCGACTGTGGACCGAAGGAGGCGGCTGGGCTGGTCTGGGCTCTCACAGCCTCTTCCGTGGGTCGCCTGGTCTGGTTGGTGGGCAAAGAGGCTGCCACGGCTGAGGAGAGGCTGTGGGGGGGGGGAGATGAGGGTGCTTGGGAAGAGCAGGGCATCTTGCCCACCACCTCACGCCTCCCCTGTTGGATGGCAGCTGGGCACGGCAGCCCTCTATTTCACCTACTCGGCCTTGGAGGAGGAGATGGAGCGCAACAAGGACGAGCCGGTCTTCACCCCGCTGTACTTCCCCCTGGAGCTGCACCGGAAGGAGGCCCTGGAGAAGGACCTGGCGTATTTCTACGGCGAGGACTGGCCGGAGAAGGTCCAGTGCTCAGAGGCCACCCGGCGCTACGTGGACCGGATCCGCCACGTCGGGCAGCACGAGCCCGAGCTCCTGGTGGCTCACGCCTACACTCGCTACATGGGAGACCTCTCGGGGGGCCAGGTGCTGAAGAAGGTGGCCCAGAGGGCCCTGAAGCTGCCCAGCACCGGCCAGGGGGTCCACTTCTACTCCTTTGAGAACATTTCCAGCGCCCAGCAGTTCAAGCAACTCTACCGGGCCCGACTCAACGCCCTGGATCTGGACAAGGGGACCAAGGAGCGGATCGTCCAGGAGGCCAACAAGGCCTTCGAGTTCAATATGCAGGTGGGGGGGCCGCCGGCCTTGTGCCTGGGCAGGGGCTTCCTCCGGACAGCCGTGAGGAAGAAGTGGTCCGGCGCTGCCTGGGTGGGGAGGGGAGCCTTGCCTGCGGGCGGAGGCGGCTGTCCTCCTCCGTGGCTGCTGCTGCGGTGGGCCTTCCTCCGCTTGGTAGGCCCAGTGGAGGGTGGCCTGGAAACCCGGGTGGGGACCCTTGGACTGTGGTGGACTGGGCCGATCTCTCCCTCTCCTCCCTCTCCCCAAACGCCTCTCCTGAGTCCTCCTCGGACCCACACGGGCTGCTAGTCTGGGTGCGAAGGTCAGGCAGCCCATGAGATTTCCCAGGTGGTGACGTGCTCCCTGCCAGTAACCAGAGCTCGCTTGGGCTGGAACCCAAGGCAGAGTAAAGGTGACGCCTCAGGCCCGGATGTGGAGAAGCCTGGGCGTGCCTCACGCGGTGGCCGCGTGAGTGGCTCAGGCAGCCGACGGCTCTCCTCATCCTCCTCTGCAGGTTTTCGAAGAACTGGACAAGATTGGGGCGCTGTTGACCGAAGAGGCCCAAGAGGGGGCCCTCCCTATCCACGATGGGAAAGGAGACCCCAAGAAGTGCCCCTATTACGCTGCGAAGCTCGGTGGGTGTCTGCTTTCCTCCCTCCCCCCTTTTTCCGTGGCTGCCTTGCAGCAAGGCCCCCCTCCCTCGATCTCATGGTCTTTCTCTTCCTCCCGAAGCTGGCGCCCAGAGTTCCGTGTGCCCCTGGCATCTGGCGGCGGCTGCTCTGAAGCAACCCTCCCTCCAGCTGGTTCTGGCCGCCTGCATCGCCCTGGCCGCCGGCGTTGCCGCCTGGTACGTGCTGTGAGCGCTGAGGGGGTGCTGTCTGTTGCCGCTGGGAGGTGGAAGGCAGCTGCGAGGCCTCCTTGGCAGGACTGCTTCCCCCCCTCCCCCCCACCTCTGCAATAACATGACTGGTGGAAGTCTAATGCCAGATTTAATGGAGGAACCATTAAACCCAACAACTGAATGCCTGGCTGTGTACAGGGTATGTTCCCAATGGCTAACTAGGAGGAGGGAGCTGGAGGGCTCAGCACCCCTGGGGATGGCTTGCCAGGATGTGCCCTCCTGGCTTGGATACCAAAGCCCTTTGGCCTTTGTGTACAGGGGAGGGGAGACGCTTGTTGCAGCCGTGAAGGGGGTGGGCGGCCTCCTCTGGCTTTCCCTCTGCTTGTGCTGCTCTCTTCTTTTGTGCTGTTCCAGGTACAGAAAACGGTTAATAGCTAACATTCAGTTACTGGGGATGCTTATGGGGGTGGGGTGGGGGCGATTGACTTGTGTATATATGGGAAATGCTAACCGCTTCATTTTCATGTAAGTTATGGACGGCAGCCATGGCTCTGGCATAATAAAGTTTATACTTCTCCGTCTTAAGCTGGCTCATGGTTGTGGGGTGAAGCGGCGGCTGGCGATCCCATTCTGGATGGTAGCGGGGCAGCTCATAGCAGAGGTGCCCAGAGATACGGGCAGGAGAGCGTGCGGAATGGGAAGGCGGCGTGGTCTCTTTTGTCACGACTAAACATGGCTCTTGAACAAGAGCGATCCAATGTTCAGTCAAGAGCGGGATCCCAATCCAGCGCTCTGGCTCTCCCAAAGTGACAGCCAGCAACGTTTACGAAAGCCCCTTGCAGAGGCCGGCCGTTTCCTTCTCTGTAAAGCCTAGCTGGGTGTGGGGCCTGGGTGCTCTTCTTCCTTGTGCCAGTCTTCCTTTGAAGGCTCTGTGCTGTGGCAAGTGGCGCCCAAGCGCCCTTTGGAGAAAAGGTGGTGCCGCTACTCACATGGGGAACCTCCTGCTCTACTCCCTAGCCAGTTCTGAACAGAGGAGACAGCGGCTGTCATACAGCTGTGGCACTGCTTGTGGAATGCAGGAGCAAACGTGGGCTGCTAAGGGATGTTCCCTGGACGGAGGAGAAACTCTGGGCCGGCGGGCACCTTCCCCAAAGGGTGTTCCAGGAGGGTGGTGCCTTTGGGTGGCCCACGCGTGCCTCTGCGGTTGTATTCCGCCGGCAGGAAACCAGCTGTCCTGCAGGGCTCCATGTGTCTCCACATCCCTCTGGCAGGGGCAGGGGGGGGAGGTGAGCACTGCCCAGCTGGAAAGGGGCCTCCTGTCTACCTGGCACTAGGGCTCAAGTAGATCCTGCCACCCCCTCCAATCGTACATCCCGTCCACCTTGCACCAAGTGACCACAGCAACTCTTGCTTCCCCTTGCTCCAGCATAGGCGCCACCCAGAATTTCCCACACAAACACCACACGGAGCACGGTGGGTTTGTCGTTTATTTATATACAACCACAGAAAAGCACCAGCCGCTTACTTCCTGCTGTGCAGTAACAGCGTAAACCCTTCCGGCTGGCTCAAAATATTTCACAGCTGGATCTGTCGTCCTCAGGGCCTCCGGCTTTGTGCTCTTGCACCTTCCTCGTCCACAGCAGCCCTTGGGACGGAGTGGTGGGTGGGTGGAGGACGGGGCTGGAGGGAACGAGGGAAGGCCACGTGCTCTGGAGGCACCAATCAGGAAAGAGAGCGTGCATGCCCGATGGACGGAGGAACCTGGGCAGCGGGCTCCCCCTCCTGGCCCCATTGCTTGCCGTCAGTGCAAAACTGGCTCTTCTAGAGGAATCAGTGCAAGACCGGGGGGGGGCAGGAAGGTGGGCACAGGTGTGTCACATTGCTGCACAGTCACAAATAGTTTTCATAACAAAAACAAAACACGAAATGGAATTCAAGCAAGCTGTCACTCCAGCTCACTCAGACATTTCCATGCTGGGGATGAGAGCGGATTACAAAGTGCTGAACGTCTTGACTCTGCCCCCCCATCCCTAAAACACACAGACAGATGGCGCAGAGAGCAGGCATAGCGCGAGGAGAGAGAAAACGGGCAGGTGAGACCAAGAACAGGGCTGCCAGACGCACGGGTGGGGGATGGGGGGGACGGAAGCAGAGGCAACGTCCACAGCCTGGCCCTCCTAGCAAGAAGAGTCCAGACTTCAGGGACCCATCTAAGGGGGCTTCTGCAGCGGCCACGGAGAACGTCCACCTCCCCGGCCAAGGCAGCACCCTCTCTCTTGGCATCCAGTGGCCCCCCCAGGGAAAAAAACAAGCAGCAGAGCAGCCTTCAGGGACAGGCCAAGACACCATGGGAGCCCAACGCACAAGCCACGGTCTGGGAACAAAAGCAGGCAGACTCACCTCCAACCCCCACCCCCACAGTCGCTTCTTTTGCGCACGAGAGGATGGAGCTCCTTGCCCCCCCCGTCAGCAGTGCCTCCAGCGCTCCAGAAACGTGACACGGCACCCCAAGGTACAGCTGCCTTCTTTCTCGGCAGGTGTAAGGAGTAGAAGTCAAAGTGGACAGCGGGCTCAGGGCCTGCCCTGCCTCTGCAGGATGAATCCTGCTTTCCACGCAGCTGGGCCCCATGCTAGCCGGGTGCCAGGGGTGGGGAGCTACAGAGACCCGGGGTGGGGGTGGGGACACACGGACAGGAGCAGCAAGCCAGGAGGGCTGCTCCTCTTCCCCCTCTGAGGCCCCTGTGAGAGACGCTAGGAGGCCTCCGAGGTAGCCTTGGGAACTCTCTGCAACAGGAGGAGGAGGAGAAAGGAGACGAGCAAGGACAGACGGGAAGCAAGGGAATCCGGCCAGTGGTGAAAGGAGATGGAGGTCGGCCTCTCCACCCCCCCCGCACCCCCCACCCAGGGTGGGAACATGTGCAGTGTTAGCACATGCGCTTGTACGTGTAGATGTAAGCCTCGCAGTTGGGGCAGGTGTGCGTCACATCCTTGAACTCATCGATCAGGCAGGGGATCAAGCAGCAGCCGAGGTCACACCTGGAAGGGAGAGGAAGGGGGAGCCGGTCAGGGCCGCAGGCCGGAAGGAAAACCTGCCTTCCGGGCACCTCCTGCTGCCTCCCCCCCTCCCTGCAAGGAGGTGGGCGAATCCCAGGTCACAGAAGCCTCCCCCCCCCACGGCCCCCCAACCGCCCACTGCTGCCAGCCCCAGGGCCATCCCCACCAGTGTCCGGGGGATGTTGTTTCAGGCAGGCCAGGGGCCCTTCCTCCCCCCACCCCACCCCAGCCCAGTGGCCTTTGTGCCCAAGTCTGAGACCAGCCTGCCCGCCGGCCCAGGGCTCCTCGCGCCCAGCGCTTCACGCACCCCATAAAGCAGCAGAAGAAGCCCAGGAGGAAGTTCATGAGGCCGATCTCGTGGGTGACCTTGGTGGTGATGGCCTGCTGGCAGTGCGGGCAGACTGTGGGCACAGGCGCCGCCTGGAAGATCTCGCCTTGCAGGACCGTCACCGTGGTCGAGGTCCCCGAGGGCACCAGGACCGTCGCCGTCTGGCCGCCGGCCGGGGCGTAGGGGCTGGTAGGGGCATAGGGACCAGCAGGGGCGTAGGGGCCGGCCGGGGCATAGTAGCCCATCGGGGGGTGCGGTCCTGGTGGCATGTAGTAGCCTCCTGAAGAGAAAACACAGAGAGGGGCTCTCACTCCAGGCCCGGGGGGGGGGCCACTCAAGACTGCGGCACCCCCAAGGACACNCCCCCCCCCCCAATCCCCGAACCGCCAGCCAGGGCAAGGGAACTGCTCACGGGAGGGTGAGGGGCTGCTCCTTTGGAAGGCTGGCCCTGATCCCTGGTGAGAAAGGAGGGCTTTGGTGGCAAAGGGGTTAACAACAGAAAACTCTGCACTGGCACGGAGCTGACTGACTCCAGCTACTCCTCTGGAAACGTCAATACTGGGATCTCAAGGGGGGGGAGAAATCTGGGGTTCGGGGTCCCTACAGGGGACTTCCACCTTGTCCAACAGAGAGGGTGGCCCTTCTCATCCTGCTGGCCACCCCTTTACTGGGGTTCTCTAAATGGCTGGCCTTCTGCCCTCATCCAGCCAGTCGATTAGTCGTTTAGTCGTGTCCGACTCTTCGTGACCCCTTCATGGACCAGAGCATGCCAGGCCCTCCTATCTTCCACTGCCTCCCGGAGTCCAGCCCAGCCCAAAAGAGAAACAATCCCCGAGGGGCCCCCCTCCGATACCGTCTCGCTCCCTCCACTCACCAGGTGGCATGTAGGGCATGGAGCCATCGGCTGACACAGGTGGGGGAACGAAGCCCGGCTGCAGCGGTGGCGGTTCGTAGGGCGGAGGGCCGACATCCGAAGGTGGCTGGACCACAGCGGGCGAGACCCTGCCTGGAGAAGCACGCCAAGGGGAAGGGATGGCTTCCGTGGGCAGAGGCACCAGATGCGCCGCCCGGGGAGACCGGCGGGACACGGGAGGGGCGTCCTTTGCCCGGATCCGGGCCTGGCTCAAAGCAAGCTGAGCAAGGCCCTCCCCACCCCTGCAAACCTCCCGGCGGTCTCCTCCGGCTGCCCGAGGAATGACACCAGGCGGCCTCTGGGGAAGCCCAGGTGGGAGCCGCAGGGCAGAAGCCAGCCTGTCCCCTCCCCCTCTGCCTGGCCCCTTACCTGCTGGGAAAGGGGAACCATCCTTCTCCTCAATGAGCGGGGCGGACGGGCCCCCCGGGTACGGCGGGGGAGGGTCGCTCGACATGCTTCAATGCTGGCGTGGAAAAGCAAGCGGAGGGCCAGGTGACCGGGGGGGAGGCTGGGAAGCAAAGGGCCACCCGCCCCACTGCAGGGGGAAGGCCCCTCGTGGGGGGTCCAGAGCCCATTTATTTCCTACCCCCTTAAGCCTGTGCAGAGAGAAGCAGAAGCGCTTGCTGGCTTAGGGGGAGAAGTCCCAGAGAGAAGAGCTGCCACCCCTGGCCCAGCTGGCTGTCTTCTCCCCAGCCCTCCTGTCTCTCCGCACCCCCTCTGACCCCCCCAGGGACAGGGCAAACCCACCTGTGCCCAATATTCAATTTCCTAAATTGCATTCAGAAAGCCTCTCCCCTCACGTTTCACTTCCTGCCTTCTGCAGGCCTAGGATGTCCCGCAAGCCTTACTCAAGGCACTAGAATCAAAAATGCCTTCGGAAACTGGGGAGGGGGAAATTGCCACCCCCTAACCTGGCAGCCAAGGCTGTTGCCTCTCGTGTGCATGCGCGCAGGCAGGGGAGGGGGGCATATGAACAAAGGTGTATGCAAGACTCAGAGATGCCCTCCAAGTTCATTCCATGCCAAGACCGGAAGCGATGAGGCCACCCAGTTGTTCCCTTCCTTTCTCTGCCCTCCACACCCCCCTCCATCACTGACAGGCTCTAGCGTTGCCTCCAAAAAAAACGGGAAGAGGGGGGGGGTGAATCCTATTTGCCCAACATCCAGCCAAGCCGCCCTTCCCCTTCTTTGTCCTCCAGCCACCCCGGCCACTGCCACCCACTCTCGGGTCTGGTGGACAAGGGCGCCCTCCCTGGGCAATGGAAGAGCCATCCACCGCAGTTGCCCGTTCCCCTGGATGCTGCATCCAAAGGTCCACACACACACACACACACACACACACCCGGCATCAAGCCACCCCCCCCGCCTCCCCTCCCTGACCCGGCATCAAGACACCCCCCCACCTCCCCTCCCTGACCAACCAAAGGATCCTCCTGCCCTGACGTGGCTTTAGGGGCCACGTCCCCCCTCCCTCCCCCCCTCCCAGCAAAGCACCCGACCCAGACTCCACTGCTCCACCGCTGGCGGGCTCGGGAGCAGGGGCCGAGCTGGGGGGCTCCTTCCAGGCATGGAGGCGGAAGAAGCAGACCTCCCCCCTTGCCCTCCTGGTCTGAGTAGAGAAAGACACACGCACACACAAACACACACACACACACCCCTCGCTCGCCTCCGGGAAGAAGCAGACCTCCCCCCTTGCCCTCCCGGTCTGAGTAGAGAAAGACACACACACACCCCTGGCTCGCCTCCCTTCTGGCCTCCTCGGCAGCCACCACGGAGCTGCTGCTGCTGCTGCTGCTCCTTCCACCATGTGATCCCGTCCAGGCCACGTGAGATGCTACAAAATCCAGGCCAGCATCCCTGGAAACCAGATCCAGGAGGGATCACACCACAGCGGGCGGGCAGGCAGGCTGCGGGCAGGCGGCAGCTCCACCTTCCGCTGCCCCTTGGAACTCCTGGCCGAGAGGCTCCCCTCCCTCTTCCCTTGAGGAGAACCTCTGCGGGTTGGGCTGCCCGGCTGGGCCTGTGGAGGCTGCCTGTCCTAAAGCATGCGCGCGCACACACACACACAGAGGCGTTAGCCCTTGCCTCAGTTCCCAGGAACAAAGGCCCCTTGACAGAGGCCACTTCCTCGCTCCTTGAAAAAGGCAAGACGGGGGGGGGGGCGCCTTGGAAAGGTTGGCCTCCGACAGCCCCAAGGATCCTGCATCACGCAGCCCTTGCCAAACCCAGTACTTCTGCCGCCATCCGTCCTGGGTCTTCCTGGCAGCAGGGGCCAAGCTGGCTCCAGGAGAAAACCAGCAGCAGCTTCTCAGCACCAGGGTCCTCACCCAGCGGGCGAGGGGAGGTCGGGCGGGTCTGCGCGCGCACCAGCCGGCAGCTCTTCCGAGCAGCTCTTCCGGGCCCGGGAAGGGCCTCGTCTTGGGGCTTCTGCAGGGGGCCGGGAAAGCCTTCGGTGTGCACAAGGGCAGGAGAGAGGGCAGCAGGGCGCTCCCGAATCTGGACTGGTTTGACGGGAAAGCAGAATCCTCTGGCAGGACGGCAGCGGGGGGGGGGTTTGCCCACCTCCTTCGGGGCATAGCAGACCTCGTGGGGGGGGCGGCTGAGAGCGTGTCCCTCCCCTTCCTTCAGAAGGGGGCTCCTGCAGCCGGCGGCTTTTCACATTCGGGATGGGTAGACCCCGGAGCGGCTTAGGGGGGCTGCCCGGCATGGCAAATAAGAAGTCTTTCTTTCAGCACCGCTTCCTGCCCTCGGGTCCTTCTCAAGAAAGGGTCTTGTGGGCGTGGAAATCTCTTGGGGAAACGACACGTTCCTCACCTGCAAGGGGTGGCCAGGGGTGTGTGTGAGTCTTGCCGGATTCTGCTCACAGATCCTGCACAGCGATACCTCCCGCTGTTGGGGGAGCCGCCTGCAGAACTGAAGAGGGCTTCGTTCCTCTTCCTCCTCTGGAGCAGGTGCCCCCTGGCACCCAAAGAGAGCTGGTGCCAAAACGCTGGGCAGGTGGCAGATGAGCAGGCTTGCCCGGCGGCGGGTCTCCTTCTCCCCATAGCTTTGTCCACGAGAGGCCACGCCCCTGCTCTGACACCCTGGGGGGCCACGTCCACGGCCCTTTCTCCCTGCTGTTCTCCTTTGACAGAGGTGCCGCTTCCTCTCCCACGATGACCGCTGCCACACGCAGCCAAGAATCTGCCGGCAAAAGGGCCGCCGGGCACCGGCTCGGTTGGTCCTCCAACTCCAGGCCTTCGGTTCTTGTCATGTCCCCCCCCCCCGCTGCTGCCGCCCGGCCCCGGCAGATCTCCAGAAGAGTTCAGAAGAGTTCAGAAGAGAAACCAGATCCTGACATGGATTCTCAGGCGCTCACCTGCACCACACAGAAACCTTACCCTCGTCAGCTGCCCCGCGCCACCTCCCGGGCATGAGATGCCCACAGAGGCTGGCCCTCTTCTGCCTCCTGTCGGCATGAGCAGCCAAACCTCTGTGGACATCTTTCCAGAAAAGGTGAGATTTGGGCAAGGCAGGTGCAGGCGGGGGGGGGAGAGGGGAGAGTGAGGTGGCTCCCGGCTCTTCCTCCCTTCCGCGCTGCCAAGGATTACAAAGCCAGGAACTCAGGGCGGCTCTCCTCCCCCTCCAAGGGAATCCGACACGGCGGCTGTCAGGGCTCCTCAGAGGTGTCCAGTTTGAGGGGAACACCGATCTCTTTGGTGCCAAAGCCCTCTTGCCTTGGCTGCTTTTGCCATGCCTTGTGGCAGGGAGTTCCACCGGACCAGCGTCCAGATGTTGCCCCTTAGGCTCCCCCTGGAGCCCAGGTGGAGGGGCAGACCGTGTGGGGCCTGCGTGGGTCGAGTGGATCTGGCTGGGCCCAGGAGGGAGGACCCCACAGGACACAACCCTCCCAAGGGGCCCTCGGCACCCGCCCCCCCCCGTCTAGGACTTCTGGGGCACAAACAGGCCTGAGGGCCGGCCAGACCCACCCAGCTCCTCGCATCCCAACTCTTGGCCTTTCGGCCTCCCAAGGGTCGTGGGACTACAACTCCCATCACGTGCCGCCCTCCCAGAGAGACTGGCTCCCACGCACCCCCTTTTCCCGGGCGGGGGGCTGTTAGGGGGAGACCTCAGGCGGGGTCTCTGTCAGGG